AAATCCTTCAGTTTTTCTCTTTCATGCAACCAAAGTGCGGAATAGTCATCCATGTGTCGCATGAACACTCTTCGTTTTATCAGTGACGCCTTGAAATCCTCTTCCAATTTTTTTCATACATACGTTTGCCAAAGATGGGAAAGAGGCGATCCCATAGGAAATCCAAATATCTGTTCATATGTTTAATGTGAAAAATGTAGTACCTATTTTTCAGTTGATTAGTCGTGTTCACGACTATCTCCTGATCCTTCCCGCTTCCAGAATATCCTCTTCTAGGCCCGAGATTTCCAGCCGGGCCGTCAGCGTCTTTTTTCCAGATATGTTTGTATACATGGATTGTACATCTAAACTTACCAATAGGTCTGTTTCTTCCAGCGCCATGTTTTTTTTATTCATAAAATTTATCCAGTGGCCACTTCTTTAAAATGAACAATATCATGTGAAGAACTTCATGCATTTTGATAAGTTATTATTTCGGCTTCCGGTAAAATCACCTTACATATTTCTTGCATCCACTGTTTTACAAGAGAGTTTTGCTTAAAACCGATTTTTCGAAGACTTTGTTTGCTAACATTTTTCGCAACTTCTCCACTTCCCATATCTACTTGAGCTGAAAAATAATTTCAAGATTTCATTGCAATCCTACTTTTCTATTCTTCATTACCTCTCTTGACAGGCAAACTTCCCGCCACTCCCCCGCCATGCTCGATGCAGCTGATCAATGAAGTAAATGAGTGCCATCAAATGAAAATCGGTGACTTGACTCGACTTTTGCCACGCCAGGAAAACGCTTTCCTGTTTGGAATTTATATCAACCAGCTTTTAGAAATTTGCAGGTTTGTTCATCGGTTTGGTTTGTTTGGTCGGTCGGTCGACAATCTGGCTTCAACTCGAGCTGGGGAACTGAAATTTGGGATGAATAGGCCCGGAGGATTTAGAAATTAAACTAATGACTGAGCCATTTTTACGTGCAAATAAGTCTATTACTCTTAATTGACGTAGAGATAAGCCTCAGCAAAAAGTATATTTCTCTAATCATTGTGCATAACGCATTTTATGAT